GAGCGGGGAGGGAGGGGCAGGGGGAGGGGGAGGGAGTGGGGGGAGAGGATCAGAGGCTGGATGGGGGAGGAAGGGAGGGAGGGGACGCGAGGAGGGGGGGGGAGGGAGGTGGGGCGGGGGGGGAGGAGGAGCCCAGCCCCCCTCTCACGTCGTGGAGAGAGATCACGGCGGAGACTTCCCCCCCAGTCCTCGGCAGCCAGGGGATCCCCTCGGCCGTACTCCGGGAACGTCCAGGGCACACATCGGGAGGAGGGGCTGGCCCCGGCGGAAGGTGGACTCGAAGGTAGATGGAGGGCACGGGAGGGCGAAAGGAGACTCGCCATCGCTCGGACGTCCATTTCCCGTGCATTTTTCGGTTTCGTGCGTGTTTTTTTTTTGCTCGATGGTCCAGGATGGTCCTCGATGGTCCTCGCCGAGAAAAAAATGCACACGTCCGAGCGATGCCAGGAAGAAGGGCAGAGAGAGGGGGAAGGGGCAAGCTGGGCGCGCTCGCGCCACAGCTGGCATCCTACCCCTCCAGCCCCTTTCATCCTCGCCGCGCTGAATATAATTTGTATCCGCTGGTTCGGGCGCCCCAGACGAGTTTGACTCTCAAAGTGGCCTCATCGTGAAACGCGCAATCATTTGGGACTTTGTACGATTGGCCAAGGAAGAGGATGAGGTGGCAGGTGCAGAGGAGGATACGCAGGAGGACGACAGGATGAGGAGGGAGGGGAAAGGCGCAGCAGCAGCAGGAGCAGGAGGACCGGGGGCAGGCGGAGGGGGAAAAACGAACGGACGGCGACGAGAAACGATCCGGATCCAGAAGCGTGGCCCACGCTGGGGCGAGGGCCGAAACGGCCAGAGGAAAACGCCGACCCTGAAAAGCGACCAATGCTGCAACGGGACCACCACTGTTTCGGACCGAAAGCGGGCCGATGGAAAAACGCACAGCGACGAAGACTACAACGACGAAGGAGGACATGAGGGGAAGAGGGAGGAGAGGGGTGGAGGAAGAGGGATATGAGACAGGAGTACGAGGGAATCCGACCTGACCAACGGACAGGGGCCGCAATGGCAACACATTTTACCGCACACTGGCCTGCGACACAATAAGGCAGGTTCGTGACGTGCAGACTTCGGCGTTGGTTTCTGACACCGCGGGGATCGTTATCGGCGGTCTCCGAAAGGTCAGATCCTTCTGCACCGAACGATTCTGGGTCGCCAATGGCATTCAGCATTGAGCGCAAGCGGCGGGGTCGCCACCGGTCGACACGACGCGAACCTACCGCAGTTGGGAGGGAGAGCCTCCCCACGCTGGATGCGAGGAGAAAGGGGGCGCGTGGGCTCGTCTGCAGGCGCACTGGCCGTCCAGCCTGATGGATATCCTGCATCAGGTGCAGACCTGCCCTTCTGGCAGGGGGTGGCCAATTCAGATCTGTCCGTCACAATGGCTGCCCATACGGCTATGTACGGCGCGTTCGTGGTGTGCCGACTTCGGCGTTGGTTCCTCACACGGCGTGGATCGTTCAATCTTGAACGACTGGCCGTTTCAAAAAACGTTAGCCCCTTAACATCGACCGATTCTGGGTCGCCGGCGGCGTTCAACGTTGAACGCTGTCGGCGGGGTCGCCGCCGGTCGACACGCTGCGAACCTACTGTGCGAAGCCGTCGCAGACGCATTTGCCAGCGCACTCCGCTGCAATTGTTGCAGTCTTATGATGAGCAATGACACGCTGTTAGCGTCTCTTGCGGCGTGGTGTGGGGATGTGTGGGATGTTTCGGCCGTCGGCGAATCGACCAAGCGTGTCGCTCACACACTGTATGTATGTGCATGTGTAGATGGGCGTATAGGAAACCAGGCACTTGCCAGCCGACCGTACATACCCTGAATGCACCTTAGATCAATGAAGAATCGAATGCCGAATCAGGTCTGTGAGGCCGAAGAACCGATCACACATGTGGGCGTTCATTCATGCCTCATGTTCTGCACTATAGGCTCGGGCACATTGCTCCGACCACGGCACGGAAGCCCCAATCAGAACCGAAAGATAAATGACTGCTGTTTCTGGGTGCGGATTCCTTCAATGGGGTTTCGCTGTATTTTCCGTCATCAACTCTTTTAACGTTCTCGCGTAGACTTATGCAACACTGTCATATCATCGAGTTCTCACTCACGTGGCGCCCGCTGCAAGTCAGCACGACCGCTGGTATTAGCGTGGGAAGCAAAGCGTCGTGACCCTGTAGATCACGGTACGTAGAGATCACCCGCCTACACAGCCCATGGGGGATATATGCCGTGCTGTTGTCCACTACCTGGTGACTTACAAGTACGTGCTTGGAATGACCCTCCAGACTATTACTGAGCAGCATGCGCATCTGCACGGGGCCTCGTGTCTCTGTCACTACTTTTAATTTCGCCTCCCTCTTCTCTTCTTAGTGTGGCCTATGCTAGGCACCTACATGTTAAACAAGGAGGCTCAGCAATTAGCCTGGCGAGTGGCCGAACCCCATGCAGCTGCTTGTAAAGCAGGGGATGGCCCTCTCTTTCTGCTGAATGTCGCTGGGCAGTGCGGATAGAAGACTGCGGAACAAGAGCGTAGAGGCGCACCGAACGCCATGTGCAAGCACGACCCCGGTGAGGAACCCGCATGCGAACGCGCCCATTGGGGCCGCAAGTGAAGGTCCCTGCTGGGCACGACACTTTTGCGGAGGGTGCCGATCTGGGCATGGGGCGGCATGCGCGCGAACCCTCTGAGGCCGCAGGTGGAATTCCCCACGAGGGCACAAAGTGTGCGCGGGGTGTGCCGAGATGGTCGGGGCTGCATGATTGCGCGCCCATTGAAACCGGAGTTGGAACACCCACGGGGGGCACGAGACGTATGAGAGGGGTGCGCCGAAAAGGCGAAGGAGCGGCATGCGCGTGTGCCCACTGGAGCCACAGGTGGAGCTCCACGGGGGGGGCGCTGCCCGCGTGAGGGGCGCGCCGAAACGAGAGCTGCACCCACTGCGGCCACTGGCGGAACTTCCCGTGGGGGCACGAAACGTGTACAATGGAAACCTATACCAAGAGACAGCCTGCCCGCCTCCAGGGTGCCCTGGGTCTCTTGGGCTTCGATGGTTCTGCCACGGAGAGCGTGACGCTCCAACACCAAAAATCAGTGGACGTCCTGGGGTCTCGGGGTTGGGTCTCTGGTGGAAGGTGTCGGTCGGGCTCCTACTGGACAGCCCCAGCGGGCGTGGCGCGCATGCCGCCCCGAGAGCTCATTTCGGCTCGCACCTCGCACGTCCTGCGAGCCGAGCCCGTGGGGAGCTCCAGCTATACGGCACCAGGCGGGCGTGCACGCATGCCGCCCCTGATGATCCTTCTCGCAAGGCGCACCCCAAACACGTGCCTCGCGCCCTCACAAGAGTCGAAGGAGACAAAGCACCATGAACCGAAATTCCTGGCGCTCCAGAAGCGCGACGCCCACACCGAAAATCAGTGGACGTCCTGGGGTCTCGGGGTTGGGTCTCTGGTGGAAGGTATCCTGTGGTCGAGCTCCTGCTGTGGAGCCCGTGGGGAGCTCCAGCTGTCGTCGGTATCCTGTGGTCGGGCTCCTGCTGCCATGGGGGTATCGGCAGTGCGCGTGCGGCAGGGCACGCACGCGCGCCCAGGTGGGGGGCCGCAGGAAGAGCTCCACGAAGGGGGTGCACGGAGCGCGTGCGCGGGGCCTTCCACCAGAGACCCAACCCCGAGACCCCAGGACGTCCACTGATTTTTGGTGGGAGCGTCACGCTCTCCGTGGCAGAACCATCGAAGCCCAAGAGACCCAGGGCACCCTGGAGGCGGGCAGGCTGTCTCTTGGTATGGGTTTCCATTGTACACGTTTCGTGCCCCCACGGGAAGTTCCGCCAAAGGCCGCAGTGGGTGCGGCTCTCGTTTCGGCGCGCCCCTCACGCGGGCAGCGCCCCCCCCCCCCCCCCCCCAGGACGTCCGTTGATTCCAAGAGATCCCGGGACCCCAGGACGTCCATTGATTTCTGGCGTGTGAACGTGACGCTTCCCATAGCAAAACCATCGAAGTCCAAGAGACCCAGGGCTCCCTGGAGGCGGGCAGGCTGTCTCTTGGCATGGGCCCCCACCGACGGTGAAGCCCTCTGCGGGGGCACGAGGCGCGTGAGGGGTGCGCCGAAGGGCGCGGGTGGGGCACGACACGTGAGAGGAGGAGGAGGAGGAGGAGGAGGAGAAGGAGGAGGAGGAGGAGGAGGAGGAGGAGGAGGAGGAGGAGGAGGAGGAGGAGGAGGAGAGGAGGAGAGGAGGAGGAGGAGGGGGGGGGGGGGAGGGGGGGAGGGCAGGGAGAAAAGGAGGAGGAGGAGGTGGAGGAGGGAGGAGGAGGAGGGAGGAGGGGGAAGGAGTGAGGAGGAGGGGGGGGGGGCGGGAGGGGGAGGGGGAGGGGATAAGGAGGAAGAGGAGGAGGAGGAGGAGGAGGAGGAGGGGGAGGAGGAGGAGGACGAGGAGGAGGAGGATGAGGAGGAGGCCTGGGGCGGCATGCACACGCCCGCTGCGGCCGCCCATGGAACTCCCCATGGAGGAGGCACCGGATCTGCAGGGTGCGTGCCGGAATGAGCTCTCGGGGCGGCATGCGCATCCCGCCCGCCGAGGCCGCAGGAGGGGCGCACGACCCGCGCGGGAGGGACGTGCCAAACATTGAGCATCGGAATCCAGACGCATGGAGAGGCAGGAGCGAGGGGAGCGGGAGGCGGGATGGGGAGGCATCAAGGGCCCAGGGACACACGAATGAACGGACACAAATCCCTACATCCCGAATGTGTTTTATATGGTTTTTTGAACTTTAGTCTTTCCCGCCACTTCAATAATTTTCCTGGGAATCGACGCTTGTTTGTGTTACTGAGGGCAGGAAGTGAAGGAGGGGAGGCGGGGGGGAGGAGAGGAGTAAGCAGAGGAGGCGGGAGGTGGAGCGCGGCGCTGCGGATTCAAAGCGAGGACCCACAAACATGGGAGGGTTGGGGGAAAAGGAAGATCCAGGATGAGGAACACAAGAGGATGGTGGAAAGGATGAAGCCAGACTCGGCGAGCGGCGCGAGGCACTGGCAGCCAGTCTCAATCGCCGCCGGCAATATTGCGCGTGTAGATGAGCATGCTGGAACTCCTCTCGCCTTAGGGTCCCCCGCCCGCATGCAGCAACTGCACACACTTGTCCGTCCATCCCCATCCAAGTTCTCTATCGCTGTGTGTGCGTGTGTGTGTGTGTGTGTGTCGACTTTCTCCGCCTTGTCGCCTCGCGCGAGGCTGGGACCACCAAATGTGTGCGTGTGTGAAAGAGAGAGAGAGAGAGAGAGAGTATGTCTCTCTTTCTCTTTCTCCTTTTTGATTTGTTATTGTTTTCTCTCTCTCTCTCCCTCCCTCCCTCCCTCCCTTTCTCCCCCTCTCTCTCTGTCACCCCTCTCTCTCTGTCTCTCTTGCTCTCTCTCTCTCTCTGGGCGGTGAACTCGACGTATCCCTCTCTCTTCCCCTCCTTCTCTGACCATGTGTATGTCTCTCTGTCTGTCTGTCTGTCTGTCTGTACAATAATTCTCTCTCTGTCTCTCTCTATCTCTCCTTCTCTCTCTCTCCCCCCTTCTTACCCGTCACTCTCTCACACTCTCCTCCCCTCACCGGCCAGGGTCCAGCCTCAGATGCCCTTCGCGCTGCAACTCCACTCCACCGATGCGCCGTGCCCGCGCCAGCCACGGGCCCCGGGACTCTCAGGGGACGACGTCGGAATGACAAGCTGGCCCCGAGAGAGCACCGGGGGTCTGGGAGTCTGTTCCCCTTCGGACTCCTCTCCCTCACTAGAATTAGGTCGGGCACGTCCTCCTACAGGCGGATTTTGGACGAAAAACTGAAAATAGCTAAAACACAGTTTCAAAAATATTGAAAACACGTCCCCCGACTGTTTTGCTGACTATTTTGAATAATCCTCCTGTAGAGAGACGTGCCCGACTAAACACGGGAAAAAACAAAGAACGGGAGGAACGCAGACTTTTGGTGCTCCGCGCGGATTTCTTGGATCTGCGCCTGACCCCCTGGCGCAGGAGGCGCGGCTCGGGGGGGGGGCCAACGCGGATCCAAGAACTCCGCGCGCCGCGCCAGAAATTTATGCTGATGCCGTTTATTATTCTTCGATGCTCCGCGAGGGAAGGTTTATGTTGTTTTTTCTTCTTCGGCTCACGGCGATCAAAGGAGCCGGAGGGGAGGAGGGAGCTCGAAATTCGGAACTCGAGCGTCCGCGAAAAGATGCCAGAGGGCATCACTGCCAGGGGTGTGCTCCCATCGTGCTTGAGGAGCACATCCCAGACATAAGTTGGAGCACCCCGAACAATATCGAAGCAGTGTCGAACGAGTATCGCCTCCCAGGGCCCGACGCGTGAAACATCTCCAGTTTCGGTACTTTCTTGGTGCTCGAGCTTCTCTCTGGTAGTCAAGGCTAAAACAGGCTGGGACAGCATAAGCCTTCACGGCGAGGGAGCTGGATGGGGAGGAGGGAGCTGGGAGAGGATCGGAGACGCACTGACCCGGGTCAATGCAAACCCGGGTCAGTCAGGCGCTGCAGGATCCTGCAGGATCCTGCAGGGCCCTGCAGGAGCCTGCAAGATCGGGCGCTCTGGCTGACCCCCGTTTGCATTGACCCCCGTCTCAAGGCGCCCGAGAGCTGGAGGGGAGGAGGCAGCCAGGGGAGGAGCGAGGGGGGGCCGGGGGAAGACGCGACGAGGCGAGCGCCAGAGCTGGGCGCGCGCCGCGGGCGGGCCCGCGCGTCACCCTCGGGGACGTGGCACGGGAGGGGGGGAGGGCACGCTCCAAGATGCTGAGCAGAAGAAAAGCAGAAATAATAGTTATAGTCGCAGCCGTGTTAGTAGTAGTAGTAGTAGTAGTAGTAGTAGTAGTAGTAGTAGTAGTAGTAGTAGTAGTAGTAGTAGTCGTAGTAGTAGTAGTAGTAGTAGTAGTAGTAGTAGTAGTAGTAGTAGTATTGGTAGTAGTAATAGTAGTAGGTATAGTAGTAGCAGTAGTCGTAACAGTAGTTGTAGTAGTAGCAGTAGTAGTGGTAACAGTAGTAGTAGTAGTTAGTAGTAGTTAGTAGTAGTTTGTAGTTAGTAGTAGTAGTAGTAGTAGTAGTAGTAGTAGTAGTAGTAGTAGTAGTAGTAGTAGTAGTAGTAGTAGTAGTAGTAGTAGTAGTAGTAGTAGTAGTAGTATAGTAGTAGGAGTAGTAGTAGTAGTAGTAGTAGTAGTAGTAGTAGTAGTAGTAGTAGTAGTAGTAGTAGTAGTAGTAGTAGTAGTAGTAGTAGTTATAGTAGTAGTAGTAGTAGTAGTAGTAGTAGTAGTAGTAGTAGTAGTAGTAGTAGTAGTAGTAGTAGTACTAGTAGTGAGTAGTAGTAGTAGTAGTAGTAGCAGTAGTAGTAGTAGTAGTAGTAGTAGTAGTAGTAGTAGTAGTAGTAGTCGTAGTAGTAGTAGTAGTAGTAGTAGTAGTAGTAGTAGTAGTGGTGGTGGTGGTGGTGGTGGTGGTGGTGGTGGTGGTGGTGGTGGTGGTGGTTATGGTGGTGGTGGTGGTAGTCTTAGTAGTAGTCGTAATAGTCGTAGTAGTCGTAGGAGTCGTCGAACTCGTAGTGGCCGTCGTAGTTTTGCTAGTAGTGTTCGTCGAGGCCATATTTGGCGTCTGGAGGCCGTTCTTGTTGATCTAGTTGGTTTACCTTGCTACCTCGTTCGTCTTGGAACGATCTTTGGGCGTGTTTGGCTGGAGTGGCTGGTCGGGCTCGCATTTTGGAATGATCCCTGAGCGTGTTTGGCTGGTCTGGCTGGTCTGGTGGGTTGCCCTGGCTGGCTCCTCTGGTTCAAACAAGTAACGGTGCCAGAAGAAAGGTCGTCCACATTTTGAAATTAGCATGTGGGATTCTCTCGTAGCGTAATGTATGTGAAAGTGCGGAGGCGGTGGTTTCCATCGTAGTCGCCATCCCTGGCGGCGCATCTCTCGCTGCCACTAGAGATGTCCACGCGCCGGGGGAGGGGCCAAGGCTGATTGCAGAGATCCGCCGCACGGACTTCTGGAAGCTTTTTCCCCGCCCGAGAAGTTGGGGCACCAAACCCAAAAGAACGAGTTCCCGTCCACCGCGGCCGCCAGGCCCCAAGAGGCTCAGTGCTCCCTGGTTGTCCCGCCTCGCGTTCTCAGGGGGGGATCGCTCGAAGCAACATCATCCGTCGGCGCGCCCAGAGGGGGAAATGAGAGGCGGCAGGCCTTCGCAGAAGCTTCGGGGGGCTTCTCGGAAGCCTGCTGGCCCTCTGAGCAGCCGCCTGTGTCTTCGGAGCAAGTTTAGAGAGCTTATGGGGAGGCTGGGGGGCTCCTCGGACTTCTGCGAAGCCCCGCCCTCTCTGCTTTCCCCCTCGGGCTCGCTGCCCGACGATGTTCATTCTGTCTTCTGTTGTTCTGAGGATGCCATGTCGCTGCTCGCCGTCGGCGGGCGACTGGCCGTCGTGACCACGCGCCGCCCCGAGGCCGCCACGGTGAAGGCGTTCATGAGGTCCCGCGAGAACCCGCACCCTCTGCTGGAGAGTGCCTCCAGCGCCCAGAGGCTCCCCTCCGATCCGGGGGTCGCGAGAAACATGCTCAGGACGGCCGGATGTTCGTCGCTCCAAGCCCGTGGAGGCCGGTTCCCAGGCCCAGGACCATGAAGAGTGGGCTGGCGAAGAATCAAGCCACATGCAGTTGTGAGTGCCGCAGTTGTGGGTATCGTCTTCGCGGGGTTGCATCTGGGGCCACGAAGCGCTGTGCTGGGCGGGGGAACCGCATGCGAGATCCGCCACTGAGACCTCCGGTGGAGCTCCCTCTGGGGCCACGAAGCACTGTACTGGGTGGGGGGACCGCATGCGAGTTCCGCCATTGGGACCTTCGGT